CCTGCACCCCGCTATTTCCCCTGGTCTAACGTGGTCTGCCATATGTCAGCACTGGCTGTCCAAAAGCTGGTCTCCTCTGCCACCGGGTTTCAGTTGTGATGTCTCAGGACGTTGCTCTCCAATTTTTTTAAAGCTCATTTTTATATTAGTTATTCCCTGTTGAGAAAAACTAGACAGACCCGTCTGGTAAATATTTACTGACCTACCATTAACCAGGCACTGAGTTCCCGGTAGGGCAGTGAGGAAGAGGGGCGGCTCCCTTTCTAAGCCCGCCCTGCCTGCACTGAGGAGCCCCTCGGGCATCTGGTCCTGCCCAGATTCCTTGAAGGAGGGAAGGGATTTGCACCCTCTGGGCCCCATTGGCCGTGGAGAAGGGCCGCTGCTGGGTGCGAGGGCTTCTCCCGCTCCCGCCAAGCACGGCTGAAGGGGCCGTGGAGCCATGGAGAAGAGAGCGGCTCCCGGACCCTGCGGGCACAGGCACAAGCGGGCCTGGCCCTTCCATTGCGCCGGCCCATCACCCCTCTGAGCCTTGAGTGGTTCCCATGGGCATTCCCGAGAATTCCCACCCCCCAGGCCCCGGGGAGGACACAGCAAGGTTGGCGTCTGGAAGGGGCCCAGCTCTCTGCTACAGCAGGCGCTCAGTCAGCGGCTCTGGCTTCTCCCGCGGCTCCAAAGTCGCTTCCTTGTTTGCGGCCCTGCTCTGTGGGATCGAGGGAGGGAGGGGGGCCTGGAATGGAAGAGGCTCCGCCGGAGGGATCCTCTGTTGCGGGCAACACACCTGTTCACCTCATGGCCACTTCAGCCCTGGCAGGGGAGCGCGGAGCTCATGCGTGCGGGCCAGGCCGGGAAACCGAGGCTCAGAGGGTCCCTCCTGCTGCACAGCCTCGCAGCTCACCCGGGCAGAGGCGCCCTGCGAACCCCGCCTGTCAGGCCCTCCCCGCACCCCTTCCCCCCAGCGGAGGACCTTGGCTTGGCAGTGACCGCACACATCTTGGAAACAACCTCCCAGTAACGGGTCTCGGGGTCAAGGTCATCTCTCGTTTTGCGCGGCTCCCGATGTCTCACTGTGCGATCGCTCGTGGGAGTCCCTTCCCGTGAGTCCCGCTTGGAATTCCCTGAGTCCTTTGGCGGTGGATGTCCCTGGGCTCTTTCTGAAATGGTCCAGGCGATCTGGAGAGACCCAGCCTGATGATCCTCATTCCTATCTCGTCAGGACTTCCCATGCACAGACTGCCTTGACCTTCACATCGTGGACATCCCCAAGCAGGACACCTGTTCCTTGGCTAGAGGGAACCTGGGCTGAGGCCGCACTGCCCCTGGATGTTTTTTTGCCTTCTTCCAGTCACCCAAGCATAGTCCCCTGCCCAGGGCCATGTCCTGTGTTCATCCCTCAGCCTGAGCGTTCCCCGAGGGCGTGAGTGACAAGAACCCTAAGCCAGCATGAGGGCGTTTCTCCTGGTTGTCGGGTGGGAAGAGGTGTTCCTCCCGCCTTGTGGACATCAGCTTCCTTCTCTTGTCGCGATACTGCCAGACAGACCATTTCCGCCCTACGTCTTCATTGTCGGCGTGGTCTTTCAAAGTCCCGTCCTGGGGTGCCGGGGTGGCTCCGACGGTTAGGTGTCTGCCTTCAGCTCGGGTCACAATGCCAGGGTCCTGGGATCAAGCCCTGCATCGGGTTCCCTGCTCAATGGGGAGTCTGCCTCTCCCTCTCCTGCTTCCCCTCTTGTGCCCACTCGCTCTCTCTCTCTGACAAATAAATAAAATCTTAAAGAAAAAAAAGGAGGACATGTGATCTGATGAGCACTAGGTATTACAACTAGCAATCCTTGGACGCTACAAAACAAATGATGTGGGGCGCCTGGGTGGCTCAGTGGGTTGGGTGTCTGCATTCAGCTCTGGTCATGAGCCTCAGGTTCTGCGGATCAAGCCCCACGTCAGGCTCCCTCTCAGTGGGGAGTCTGCTTTCCACTCTGCCTCTCAGCCCGCTCATGTTCTCTCTCCCTCTCTCTCAAAAAAATAAATTAAAAAAAAAATAAAACTCAAAAACTAGTGCTGTAGTTTATGTTAGCTAATTGAATTTAAATCTTTTTAAAAAAGCATTTGCCGACTTGTATCTGTCCACTGGAATGCGAGCCAACAGGAAACCAGAAAAGAAACCGAGGTTTGTACACAAGTGTTCGCAACAACCACGTTCGCCTCGTGTGAACCATCAGGTCGTTCTGCTGTCGTGGACTGCCCACGGGCTCACGCATTCTTGCGAATACCTTCCTTCCTGCACACCCTTACAAACCACATAGCACCACGTAGATTTTACTGTAGCTTAAGCAGAACATTCACAGTGAAAAGAAGAATCTAAACGCCCCTGGAGATAGCGGCAGGGGTCCCTGGGTGGCTCCTCAGTTGAGTGTCCAACTCTTGACCTCAGCTCAGGGCAGGATCCGGAGTCTCGGGCATCCACTCCGCGTTCAGCGGGGAGTCTGCGTCTCCTCTCCCTCTGCCTCTGCCCCAGCTCCTGCTCTCTCTTGCTCTCTCTCTGTGTCTCAAAAAAATAAATAAAATCTTCTTTTAAAAAAGTCCTCCCCTTCTGTGGGGTTCCAATCGCAGCTTTGATCCTGCCTGTGTCCTACGCCTTCATCCTTTCCCCCTTAGAACTGGACCCACCCGACCCCGGGGGCTGCTGGGCTGGCCTCTCCCTTGACCGATATTGTCCTCATTTCCGTATTTTAAAGATGTCCTGTCCTTTCTGCCAGCGCAGGCGTGTGTTTTCATTTTCACATGTTTGAGATTATACTTTATAGGAGAGGAAAGACTGAACCTGGATCGGTCTCATGACTGGTTGTGAGTGGTCCTAATCTGAGCTCCGTGGCAGGAGAGGGAGGGAGGGGTGGTGCCGCAGGCTGTCGTGCTGCCCATGGAGAGAACGCAGCTGACAACTGTGGCACAGTCGCCACTGCTGACATGACGTCTCACTCTGTTTGCAAACACTGTTCCACGCTCGTGCAGAAATGTTTGCCGGTCTCACAGGAGAGGTCCGAGTGACTGGCTGTTTGTTGAAGCAGGGTGTCCCTTTGGGTTGCCAAGTGTTCTGGAATTAGGTGGTGGGGATGGCTGCACAGTATGGTGAATATGGTAAAAAACACTGAATTACACTCTTTGAAGTGGTGAATTTTCTGTTATGTGAAGTTTACCTAATTTCAAATCCAGTTTAGAGAAGGAGAGCTCGAGGCCAAAGAAGGTATAGCTCTTGTGCTCCCTTCACGTCACTTTCCTGACACAGACCCCGGGCACAAGGAGGATGACAGCACCGCCCAGAAGTCTCCCTGCCGTTTCAAGGCGCTCAGCAGCTGGCTCTGAGCCCCTTACCCCATGACGTCAGCATCTGAGGAGACCTTCTCTCGCTGGCGGGACGACAGGTGCCATCGTGACGGAGGACGGCGCTTCATGCAGGTCTTGGCTCCCTGACCCGCGCGAAGGCGCCGGCACAGTCTCTAACGTCAGGCGCTGTGGGCCGCGTGCTACCTTATGGCCAAGAGCCCTCCTGCCACCACCGGCCCGCCCTGAGAGGGAAGCATGGGGTCTCAGGGGGCCTCAGCTCCCTGTGGTCTGAGCACAGCTGGGACGGCGCTGCCAGCTGACACGTGCGCTGTCCCCACTAACCGTTCTGCTTTTCACTCAAACACTCGATCCCCGTGTGCCGGAGTGGCAGAGGCTTTGGTCTACTTGTGAGATGATGACTGAAGAGGAACAAACGGATCGAACGCTAAAGCCACAAAGAAACCTCCAGGGCAGCAGAGTCCAAACAACGATGCTCTTTATTTCTCTCTCCAAGTAGGCTGCAAAGGGGTAACCCGCCACCTGGGAGCCATGTGGTCAGGGCCCCCGGCTCATGAGGGAGGGACGGATCGTGAACTTGCTCTGAGGAATGGGGGGGGGACCCTCCACGAGGGCTTCTCACGTCAGTGCGTTGCTGACTAGGATGGAGGCAGCACCCAGGAAAAATGCTGACTCCCCCGCGCGCCTGGTCCCTGACAGAGTCTCCTCAATTGTATGCTCCAGGGTGATATCCTTCTCCAGAGAACTGGGTCCTCCATCATTGCAATTAATAGTGTTACAACAACGAACAAAATAGAAACTATTAGTCCTCAAGACTCTCGGGGCTTCAGGGGGAACTTCGGATGGATACACGAACGTGCAGTTGCTCGTACAGTTCTTGTAAACAAGGAGTTCCCGTTCGTTCAAACCTAGAGATACAGACATGAAAATCATTGATGTCAGGCTTTGCTTGCGAGTACCAACGCACACCTCACCCAGTCTAACTAGCGCCGTGCCCACCTTCTACATCCGCAAAAGCTTCTCCGTTGCCTCGAATTCTTCGCTGGTAAAGAATGTCCAAGTGAGGCCTCTAGAGGTTCTGTTTCCTCCTTGAACAGCTTCTCCTGGAAACGTTTTTCTGTCTGCACTGCCACCTCACCTCTGCCTCGGGCTGTCCCCGATGGTCGCTGGGCACCTTGGCATGAGCCGCACGCATGACATGCCCAGCTCGTTACTTGCGCTACGACTCCCAGGGCTCTAGAAACACCGTGGCTCTTGTCCCACAGGATCACACAGCCCCTGGCGCGGAGCGCCCCGGAAGTGTGGCCTCACCTGATTTTCTGCAGTTGGAGCGGCCCCTCGGCCACATGTTCCCAGCTCTTGGCCCAACACAGAAACTGGCGATGCACGCTCAGTGCCAACCTGCTCCCCAGCACAGACTGGACGCTCTGTCCCAACGAGGGTCCCACAGTGACTGTGATCACCTCAGTGGCGGGCACACCCAACAGCCTCGACCAGCCAGTGCCGCTGGAGCCAGGCTCCCTCTGAGGCCTCCTTCGCGAGTCCTTGAGCTCGAGTCCTCGGCTCTCGCTCATGAGCCTGCCCCCGGGGACCCGTGTTGACCCGCGACTTGTTTCCTGGGACTTGCCGCAGCTGATGTGCCGTTCACGGCTCCGGGGTTACAGAGAAGGAACGAACATCCGGCTCCAGGCACTTGTTTTCTTTCTTTGCCACATGAAGGACTCTTGAAAGTTCCGTACCATCCTGTGGTCGGCCGCCGAGGGGGTTTCCAGGAAGAGTTCGTAACGATATAGGCAGCGTCAAAGTCCAGAAACAGAACTGGATGAAAACCCTCATTCCCGCTTTTCTTCCTCCGTCAGGCATGACGAGCAGCCAACGCCAAAGATAAGAAGTGTCTCGGCGTGTAAGCCTGTGTGTCAACTTCGTCCGTCCTTGAACGTTGTTGTTGTTGTTGGACGTTGTGATTACGGACTCCTGCATTGTCGTTTTGGTGTCTGGCTCCTCCTGCCTGCTTCGTGTTCGGGAAACCCACCCCTGCGTCAGGGCTGTTTCTGGCTCTTGTCTATCCCCAAGGAGCATGACAAGGGATATTCTGGGCCTCATCCGGAGGCGAGCGTGCAGGATTCTTTAGAGCTGATAATGCCGCGTCCTTAGGGTGCGGACGCATGGCTGCAGCAGATGCTGCTGAACACGTTGCCAGGCCCGTCGTACCTATTCACGCTCCACAGGGTGGTGGACACTTCGACGTCTTGCCACCCGTGACTAGGCGTTTGTGAACGCGGAACCATTGCCTTTGGGGTGCCGCATCAAGGCTCAGACTGGCGTTTCCACCAAAAACGGTGATGTTGAGCTTCTTTATGTAGACTTACTGCCCATGTGGGTATCATCTTCTGGTAACATCCTTCAAGCCGTTTTGCTCGAATTTCTATGCAGTGATCTGCTTGTTCAACTGTCGATCTGTAGGACGAAGGTCATTTTATACACCGGGTACAGCCCCTCAGCAGAGCGCCTTCAAGTGCTCTCTCTTCATCTCTGGCATCATTTTCACTGTCTCCGCAGTGTCTTCTCGGGGGCAGAAGTGTTGACTTTTTATGTAATCACACCTGCCACTTTGGCCACATGAGATCAGCACTATATTGTTCGCTTTTCTTAAGTTCATAATTATCCAAGGATACAAAGATATTCTTCTGTTTCCCTTCAGCTGACATCTTAAAATTTATCTTCTTTAAATCCAATTCAGGGAACGTCTACGGTATTACGAGTGTCAGATGTAGAACCCCATGACTCATCAGGTGTGAACCACAGCCAGTTCTCATCCAGCCAGAGGCTTCCTTAATGCTCATCGTCCAGTCACCGCGTCCCCATCCCTCACTTCCAGGAACCCTCAGCTTATCTCCTGCAGTTAAGAGTCTCATATGGTTTCTCTCCCTCTCGGCTTTCAGCTTATTTTGTTTTTCCTTCCTTTCCCCTACATTCATCTGTTTTGTTTCTTAAATTACACATATCAGTAAAATCATGTGGCATTTGTCTCTCTGAGTGACTCATTTCTCTGAGCATAATACCCTCTGGTTGTATCCATGTCATTGCAAATGGCAAGATTCATTCTTTTGACGGCTGAGTAATACTCCATTATGTGTGTACACACACACACACACACACACACACGCCATCTCTATTCATTCTCTGGGCACTCCGTATTTCGGGGATTGTGGACACTGCTGCTATAAACATTGGGGTGCATGTGCCCCTTCGGATCACTATTCTTTGGATAAATGCCCACGACCCCCTCGCTCTTTTTGTATTTACAAAGAGATCCACAAGACACCCAAAGCTGCTTCTTTGGTGTAAAGTACATACGGTCACTGAGGTCCCATCTCCCACCAGCTGTGAGTGCAGACAAGCCTCTTTCCTTAAACCTGCAGGGCCGAAGTCATCAGAAAGCATGAAACCAGACACACCTGAGATCTCCTTCCCCCTCTAAAGGTCTATTCTTCAACCTTGACACCAACATCAGACTGTCTGAATTGACAAAATGGTATAAATCATCTTGCGAGTTAAGAGCGCCATCCTCCAGTTTTTCTCCTCTCCCACAAGATTGTCTCGGGCACTCCTGCCCTTCATAACTCCATAACATCCCAGTATTTAGTTCAACTTGTATGTCTCTGCACAGACACACTGACACAGACACACACACACACACACACACACACTGACCTACTGAGACTCTGACTGGAGCAGGACGTTCTTAGATTAATTTGGGGAGAACAGCCACGTTACGTCTACTGGGCTTCACCATCTAACCACGTACATTTTTAATTGCTTTTCCACTAAGGGAAATTAGAGAATCGATTCCATTTACTATAGCACCAAGAACCATAAGATACCTGGGAATAAACCTAACCAAAGACGTAAAGGATCTGTACTCGAGGAACTACAGAGCACTCATGAAAGAAATTGAAGAAGATACAAAAAGGTGGAAGACCATTCCATGCTCTTGGATCGGAAGAATAAACATTGTTAAAATGTCTATACTGCCTAGAGCAATCTATACTTTTAATGCCATTCCGATCAAAATTCCACCGGTATTTTTCAAAGAGCTAGAGCAAATAATCCAAAAATTTGTATGGAACCAGAAGAGAACCCAGATCTCTAAGGAAATGTTGAAAAACGAAAATAAAACTGGGGGCATCACGTTACCTGATTTCAAGCATTACTACAAAGCTATGAACACCAAGACAGCATGGTACTGGCATAAAAACAGACACATAGACCAGTGGAACAGAGTAGAGAGCCCAGATATGGACCCTCAACTCTATGGCCAAATAATCTTTGACAAAACAGGAAAAAATATACAGTGGAAAAACGACAGTCTCTTCAATAAATGGTGCTGGGAAAACTGGACAGCTATACGCAGAAGAATGAAACTCGACCATTCTCTTGCACCGTACACAAAGATAAACTCGAAATGGATAAAAGACCTCAACGTGAGACAGGAATCCATCAGAATCCTAGAGGAGAACATAGGCAGTAACCTCTTCGACATCAGCCACAGCAACTTCTTTCAAGACATGTCCCCAAAGGCAAAGGAAACAAAAGCGAAGATGAACTTTCGGGACTTCATCAAGATCCAAAGCTTCTGCACAGCAAAGGAAAGAGTCAAGCAAACAAAGAGGCAACCCACGGAATGGGAGAAGATATTTGCAAGTGACAGTACAGACAAAAGGTTGATATCCAGGATCTATAAAGAACTCCTCAAACTCAACACACACAAAACAGACAATCATATCAAAAAATGGGCAGAAGATATGAACAGACACTTCTCCAATGAAGACATACAAATGGCTATCAGACCCATGAAAAAATATTCATCATCACTAGCCATCAGGGAGATTCAAATTAAAACCTCATTGAGATACCACCTTACACCACTCAGAATGGCCAAAATTAGCAAGACAGGAAACAACATGTGTTGGAGAGGATGTGGAGAAATGGGAACCCTCTTCCACTGTTGGTGGGAATGCAAGTTGGTGCAGCCTCTTTGGAGAACAGTGTGGAGATTCCTCAAGAAATTAAAAATAGAGCTTCCCTAGGACCCTGCCATTGCACTACTGGGTATTTTCCCCCAAAGATACAGACGGAGTGAAAAGAAGGGCCATCTGTACCCCAGTGTTTATAGCAGCCATGGCCACGGTCGCCCAACTGTGGAGAGAACCAAGATGCCCTTCAACGGACGAATGGATAAGGAAGATGTGGCCCACATGCACTACGGAGTATGATGCCTCCATCAGAAAGGACAACAACTGCATATTCAAAGCACTCGCAGGAAATACAGAAAGCTCCTGTGTAGCGTTGCTCAGTCACTTGCAAAGGAACATTTGGCAAGAGCACGGCGCGCTGTCACAGCCAGGGCACTGGCTTTCAAACGGTCAGTTGTATCGCCGCACTCCTCCCTCAGACGGACCCACTGACGTCTTTGCCGCCCAGATGCCAGCCACGGACCCTCGTCCGCACGCGCACAGAACTAACCTGGGGTCCGCTTCTCTAAGTTGGTCATTTCGAGCACGGCCTCAACTGGGACCACGGACGGTCACTCCTGGGGTTCACCCTCCCTCGTTCTACAGAAGCCCCAGACATTCGCTCAGGCCGGCGGATCGGCACTTGCTCCTCTTTACTGGTGGGAGCACCCGCAGGGCGGCCGTCCCATGGCTTCTGTACCCTTTACGCGCTGCAGAACAGCCGGGATGCTCCCCGGCCGGGCGCGTTGCACGTTCATCTGCTATGAGCAGCCGTTTTACTTAGTTACTCTGGGAAACCCTCAGAAGTGCCTTTCCAGGCACGTAGAGTAGCCGCGCATTCCGTTTGTAAGAAACCGGACCCCGTCTCGGCTGCCCCAGTCTTCACTGTCACTGGCGCTGTGTGAGAATCTGGTTTCTTTACCGTCCTGGCCAGCATCTGGGGTGGTCACTCTCTTTGACTTTGGCCACTCGGATTCAGGACGCCTGACTGTGTGTGTCAATGGTCATTTTGCCAGTGGCCCAAGATGTTGAAAATCCGTTCATGGGTTTATCTGCTACGTGCGACTCCGCATCGGTGAAATATCTCTTCATGTCTTTGGCCTCGTTCTAGCGGGAGGGGCTGCATTTTTGCTGTTGAACTGCGAGAGCTCTGTGTGTGCTCAGGACAGCGGTCTTTTGTTGGGTATGCGGTCTGCACGCTTGTCCTCCCGCCCGGAGCCTGCCTTTCCATCCTCCGAACAGGGCCTTCTGCACAGAAGCGCTTCTCATTGCTGGGCGTCCCACACCACCAATTCCCTTCTGTGGGTCCCGCTCTGGAGGCCAGGCCAGGCCCTCTTTGCTTAGCCCCCGACACCAACGATGTTCTCCTCGGCGCTCTCTCTTCCTCAAAGTCATAGATTGTACCTTTTACACTTAGCCCATGGTCCTTCGGAGGGAATTTTTGAATCCCAGTTGAGGTTTAGCTGAAGATGAATTTTCGCCCGATGCACTTGAAGAGGCGATCTTTCCCCACCGACTGCGCTGGCACCGTTGCCCAGAACCCCTGGGGCACGTGTGTGGAGTCTTTCTGGGGTGACAAGTGGTCACTGGCCGCCGGTGCTTCACGTTGCTCAGCTTAGGGCCCTGGGGAGTGGGGCGCCTTTCTCAGGGCCCGAGAGCCTCTGAGTGAGAGGCGAGAGCATGCTGGAAGGTCCCGACTGCCTGACTTTTCTGCCTGAGCCCACACTTGGTCTTGGCATCTGCGTGAGGTAGGTGTCGCCCTGACAGGGCCATGCCGTGTCTGCTTCCTGGGTCTGCTTATCTGGAAGCCTCTGGCAACGACCAGAATCTAATGGGCCACGAGGAACCACCCAGGTTACACAGGGCTGTCAACACACACGACCGGGCCTGCCAGGGGCTGGAGCCCTAGAGAAGCAGCCACCCCCGAGCCCGCGAGACAGCTCAGGACATGTGTACACTGCAGCCCGCCCCGCCAGACTGTGGGGCTCTCCACGATGGTGCGCACTGCCCTTTGCTGGGCTGAGCCTAGTGCCTGGGATGTGCTCCCAGGATGGGGCAGGGCGGGCCAAGGGCCGGGGACTGGGTGCAGAGAAAGAACCGACTGGACTTGCTCCCCATAATGGACTCTACACAAGGCATAGGAAGGACAGACAGATACTTACGAACAGAGATTGTCAGGCAGCGCCTCAAATTTGAGGGACACAAGTTAGATTGTGTACAGTAGAAGTTGTTGATGGTCCAACAGTCGTAGCACCTCATGTTGTAGGGCCCTGAGGGAAGACTCAGCAGCATCAGGCTCGCGCATCTCTGCCCCATTACCACCGGCTGCGCCCTCCCCTGGCAGCTGACCCTCCCCCTGCCTTGAAGGCCGCTCTGCTGTGGCAGCATGAGCGTCTCCGCAGAAGCCGGGGCCTGTTCCTGTTCCCAGATGCCAAGGGGGGGAACCCTGCGCTCTGCAGATAAGCCTCATCTGCCCAGGAAGCTTGAGAGTCATAAAAGGCCCGCGCCCTGCCAGAGGCTGCTGGACTCAGCCACCCCTGCCCGCTCCAGATGAGGAAGGGCCTGGCCGTCTCCTAGCTCAGGGACACCCAGTTCCCCGCCGTGTCCACAGTCTGCACTGATGACAATGGTCTCTGCTGGCTAAAATGACAGAAATTCCCACTCGAACCCCTTCTCCGATCAGGATATCACAGTAAATGCTTATCCCATTCCTGAGGGACTTGATATACTTACAATGTATACGTTCAGACATGACCAATGGCCAGCCGCCGGCTAGAAGCAAGGCGCAGAGGAGCATCATCTCCTGCAGGAGCTCGAACCTACAGGCGAGGAGACGCAGGTCGCATGTCAGCAAGCTCCATGTACACAGAGCGCCCCCCCCCCCGACGGTGTATGTGCAGGAGCCAGGGGGCCAGAGAGCCGGGCTCCTCGGGGAGGGGCAGCACGCACCGGCTCGCGCCTCTGGGCTCCTCCCCCCACCTGCCTCTGCACCCCCGCCCAGCAGGGCCCAAGCTGCTCCATGCGGAGACTGGGGCTTGGCCTTTCCCAGCATGAAGGCTGCGCCACTGGCGCCTTCATCTTGCGGGAAGTCATGCCACCTGCTCGCCCCCAGGCAGCGCTCCACCCAGACAGCCAGGTCCTGGGGCCGCCTCCACCTGGAGCTCACCCCAGGTCCCCTGTGCCCCCAGATGCTCCTCCTTATGCACCCGTTGATCTCAAGAGCAACCTGGGGAAAGTGCCAGGACACTGTCCACCTGGCTATGTCCTGCTCCCGCCAGCATCTGGACAAACGTGGGGTGCAGGGTGTGACTACAGCATGGAAGTTGCCAGAAGGCTCCTTGCACACCGGCCACAGTGTGCCCCAGGAACGTTCTCCCCCCACCCCGCCTCTGCGGAATCAGGTGGCCCCGACGTGCAGGCCACGGACTGCCTGGGGCCACCCCACGCTGAGCCCGGACCCTGGCCCTCTGTTCCAGGGCGGCCCCCAGGCACGAGCAGCGCCTGCCTCTGCCCCAGGCTCCCCTGGGGCCCGACCTGCACCCCGACATGTGCGTGCCCGGGGTCCTGCAGGAACCCTCGTGCCCTGCGCCAGCAGCTTGTCTCCCTGGAAGCCCCACCTGCCTTTTCAGGGTCAGGACCAGTCCTCGGTGCTCAGGGGACGCCTCACTGCATGGGGCAGGACGTGTGTCCCGCTGGACGGGGAGCCTGACTGGGGGCAGCCTGGCACCTGCCTGACTGGGGCCATCCCTGGGCGTGGGGGAGGCCACCTGCCTGAGAGCGGGGGGAGCTCTGCGCTGAGGCGAGAGGTGACAGGCTGAGGGTGAGTTGGCGCCTGCCCGAGGGGAAGCACCTGCGTGAGGTGCTGGGAAAGGGGTGTGTGGGCATCGGGCGCCTTCCTGAGGGGCAGGGGTGCGGGGCCGCCTTCCTGAGGGCGGCTGGCCACCTGCATGAGGGGCGTCCACCTGTGTGTGGGGAGATGCCCTTCCTGACAGGCGGTGGCGGCCTTCTTGAGGGCGCGTCCCTGCCTGAACTGGGGTGGGGGTGGGGGAGCCCCTGTGGGGACCAACCCGCCTGTCCGGCAGGGGCGCGGCCGTCTGCTCGGGGCCACTGTCTCTGGGGGAAGCATCTGCCCAAGGAAGCGGCCGCCGGTCACGGGGGCGAGCACCGGAGAGGGGCCGCCTGGCCCAGCGGGGAGCGCCTGGCTGCGGGGGCGCGACAACCTGTCTGGTGACACCACCTGGCTGTGGGGGGGCCGCTGTCTCTGTAGGGGGGAAGCACCTTGTGGCAGGGGATGGTGGCCCCCTATGGGGGGCGTGCGTGAGCGCTTGGCCGAGGTGGACGTCGCCGTGCAGGGACAGGGAGCAGCTGCCTGAGGGAGGCGGCCGCCTGCTGGACGGAGGAGCGCCTGTCTGAGGGCAGCGCCTGCCTGTCAGGGAGCGGCGGTGGTTGTTGGAGGAGAGGCGGCCGGTGTGAGGGGGAGCACCTGGCTGAGGGGGAGCGGCCGCCCGTCTGTGGGGAGCACCCACTGGGGGCGGGGCCGCGGGTGCACACGGCCCGCCTCGCCTCGGGGGAGAAGCTTCCCCGCCTGCCCGGCGCCGCCAACCCCCACCCCCCCCACCCCCCCACCCGCCCATCCCCGCTGCTGTCCCCACCCCGCGAGGACGCCCCCTACATGGCAGCCGCTCCTGGCCCTGCGCAGGGCCTGCCCCCCGCCCCCGCCCCCGCAGTCCCTTCCCGCTCCCACCGGCCGGCTCCCTCAGCCCACCTTCCACACCCGACCCTCGACGACCACAGAGAACCTTCTGGAGCCCTGGGCTTCGGGGCCTGAGGCGGCGGGCACAGCGGGGTTCGAGGCACAGCCGCAGCAGCTGAGCCAGACGACCCTCCGCACCACAGTCGCGCGTCCCACAGCTGGAGCGCGACCCAGAGGCGGTCTCCGGGGGCGCGCCCAACTCCCATGGGGCCCTGCGAGTGCACGCACGTGCGCATGCGCTCTCACATGCGCGGGATTCCAGAAGGTTCGGCAGGCACCGAAGACCCCGCCCTCACGGAGCCGGGAGGCGGGAAACGTTCCAGAGGTTTCCGGGGACTTTCGTCGCAGGCCCGCAGCACGATCGTCGCTGACAGAAGGTTGGGTGTCTCTGGGACGGGGGAGGGGCGCGGTGGCAGGTTGGGGTCCGGAGGTCCTGGGCGCGGCCGGCGGTGGGCGCGCGGGGAGGGGGCGGGGGGCGTGTCCCGGGCGTCTCTCTGCCCGGGGGTCGCAGCCCCGGCAGGACCCTCGGAGAGCGCTTCGGCCCTGGCTCTGCGCTTCCTCCTTTCGGGCCACTGGCTGCGGCGGAGCTTGGTCTCGTCCTCCTGGTCTCGCAGACGCGGAGCAGAGCCTGCGCCACCGCGCTCGGCCCTCTCCTCACGGGCTGCCGGGGCTGCCTTTCCTCTGCCCGCCCTTGGGGCTGTCCGTGTCGGGCGGTGTTTTGTCCCTTTGTCATTCCCACGCTGTGCCAACACCTGTGGTCCTGTCCCAGGAGTGCTGGCGGAGGGAGCTGCGGGGTGCGCGGGTGCGAGCTGGCGAACGTGGCAGAGTCCCCCGTGTCCCCGGGGACTCCCTTCTGCCCGGCGCTGCTCCTCGGAAGAAGCGACTCTGAGTTCCCCCAGCCCTTGTGGACGCGAAACCTCCACGACTAGCCGCGAGACCTCGCTGCGAGGGCAGGCACTGCCCGGGGCCGGGTGTGGGCTTAGCTGCGGGTGTCCCAGCCCCTCCGCGCCCACACTTCGGTCCACCTGATTCCGCAGGGAGGAGAGGGGTGGGGTGGGCGTGGCAGAAGGTTCCTGGGTCACACTGCAGCCTCCGCGCAAGTGAGGCTTCTGGCATGTTCCACACTCGTCACCCCTTCCCGGAAGACGCCTGTCAGGACGCGGGTAGGAGCAGGGAGTGCCTGGATGGACAGTGTTCTGGCACTTTCCCAAGCTGCTCTTGAGGGTCCGGTCAGGGACTACCTCAGGAGAAGCATCTGGGGGCAGAGGGACCTCGGGCGAGCTCCGGGTGGAGGCGGCCCCAGGACCTGGCTGTCTGGGCGGAGCGCTGCCTGATGGAGAGCGGGCAGGGTGACTTTCCTCAAGACGAAGGCAGAAGTGACAGAGCCTTCATGCTGGGAAAGGCCTACTGTCCCCAGTCCCTGCGTGGAGCAGCTCGGGGCCCTGCTGCGTGGGGATGCAGGGGCCGGTGGGGAGAGGCGCCCGGAGGCACGTGCGGGTGGCTGGTGGATGCTGATGTGCAGGGAGCGGTGGCACCTCCGGTGCATCTGTGGTGTTGGAAAGGTGTGGCTGTGTAGAACGTGCCGATAACTACATCAAGAGAGCATCCTTGCAGTTCTTTTAATGTACCTTTTCGGTGTCGCTTACTGGGAATTGTAAAGGAGATGGGAGTTTATACCGCAAACGTGTGGGATGTATTTTGTCATACACTCAATAGTCAAGGAAAGTTCAATCAATAGTGGACGAAATGGAGGTTACACGTTATGTGCTTTTTCAAAGCTGTGCTCTGCTGTACCTCGAAGGATAATTCCTCCGGGTACGGGATTCTAGGTTGGCGCGATCTGTCTTCCAACCCGTGACAGGTTTCGTTACACTCCTTTGGCTTGCATGGTTTCTGACGTGAAGTGCACTGTAATTCCCCTGCTATTTCCTTTGCACGGGTTCCTTAAAGTTTTCTCTGATTTTCTGTGACTTGAACACGCTTAGGTGTAGGTAAAATGTCTGTGTGTGTGCCTGTGTTTGTGTTCATCTTGTTCGTTTTGGTGGTGGTACGCGTAGTGTTCTCTAAGCTTCCAGAGTCTTGCCAGTGATGTCTATCGGTAGCATTGGAAAGGTCTTAGCCGTTAATATGTCAGGCGATTCTTCTGTTGGCGTTCTGTCCTCTTCCTTTTGGTCTTCCAACTATCTGTATGTTATTTCACATCACCTTCCCACCATTCTTGGATATGCTGTTCTGTTTTCTCATTGTTTTTTGGCTTTGTTTTTCGGCTGGGGAGATTTCTACTGACCCGTCTTCAAACTCACCGAGTCTTTCCGAATGTGTCTCGAATCCACTGATGGGCCCTCTCCAGCCTTTGTCATCTCTGCCACACTGGTTTTGGCTTCCAGCATTTCCATTTGACTCTCAGAGTTTTCATCTCTATGCTCACATTATGTATGTGTTCTCGCGTGTCATCTGCATTTTCCACTGGGTTCTTCGTGTCCCGATCCTAGTCCTGTCACCTCCCTCTCTAATGACTGTGATATATCTGTTACATAGGTCTTGTCCTCATGCGTGCTTTCCC